TCTTTGGCAGACCTGCTGTAGCACATTGTTATTTCACATTTATGGAATAAATATTTGTAAGATTTGATTTCTTATTCATTTTGTCCCTGTCTCACTCTATTGTTGAATTGTTAAATTTCCATATCAGCGTTTTAATATAAGTAATCAAATTCAAGCATTAAATTTGTTCTTCTTTCTGTTGAAATTACAAGAAACAACATAAAACCTCGGTTGTTTTGTTCAAAAGGTTAAAGAGCATCTAGGTAATATATGAGACATTAAAGTTTATTATTATTAAATATATTTAAAAACATAAAAAAGTGGAGTGTTGTGTTGAAAAGGGATAAGAAAATGAGTTGCAAGGCATCAAGTTTATTTGAATTTAATTACAGCCAAATGTACCGAAAAGGCACATATAAAACCACGACGTAGGCTTTTTGTCAGACCGTAAAATCAATCCTCCGTATCCTTGGATTATAAATGGTAGCCCAGTAGAGAAAGGTTGCAAGACGATAGGAATGCAGTTGATTTAAAATTTCGAGTTCACTTAACATGAATGTATTTTTTTTTATACTTGCTCAATTAATATTCTAATCAGAACACTTTTATCCCAATAACTGAAGTCTATGAACTTGCACTGGAAAAGGAAGCCAAGCTGTAAGTATCGAAACGCTTATGCTTTCTAATATTGTTACTTTTTTCTTAATAATTAATACAATTCAAACACATGTTGATTTCTATTTACGTATTATTACTCATATACTGGATGCACAGGCTGAAGTCATTCCGCCCTAATGGTATTAACAAACTTAATGACTTCACCAGGATGAACGTGAACTAGACCCAATCCCGAATTGTAACAAACAAGTTCATTCTCTCTATATAGTGTAAACTTTACCGTTAATTCGTATTAGTAATCCTGGAACAACCTACCCAAATATTTACAGCTCACATTTTTGTTTATTTCTTTTTTCCGATTTCCAAATTTATAATATATCCAAATTCATATTTCAAAATTGTCCTTCCATATTATCTTTCTTTAACTTCTTTTTATCATGTAGAGTTACGCTATTTTGAGAGAATAAGACAATGTACGATTTACTGTTGGCCGTAATTAATTAGCGATAATTAATTCGTTCAATTATGTAAATCACACTTCACCAGAGTACACCCGATAGACCGGACGCAATTCATAGCGCTCCGGATTTCTTTGTTCACAACTGTTTATAAACTCCAAATTAAACATGTAACACTGTAAATATTTAGTGTTTGGTAGTTTAGTAGTAGTGCTAGTTGTTTTTGCTTCTCTATTTCCTTTGTTTTTATGACTTCTTAACTTTTTTCTTTGTCCTGAGGAAGGGACAGGTTGTCCCGAAAATTTGACAATTATTATTGTTCGTGTCGTTGGTCATTTTTAGTGCTTTATATAAATTTCCATCCGTGACCTTGTATCTACTTAGTAGATCCGACACTTAGGATATACAGTGTTGTTGGTTTTTAGTGCTTATATATATATATATATATATATATATATATATATATATATATATATATATATATATACAGACCCTAAAACGTGCTACTACACCTCAGAAACGAACCGTACCGTTCCGTGCAAGAAGCGTACCGTACCGTGCAAGAAGCGTACCGTACCGTGGCACAAAGCGAACCATACCGTACACAAAACGAACCGTTCCGTGCAAGAAGCGAACCGTACCGTGCAGAAAGCGAACCGTACCGTTCATGAATAATTTTTGAAATAATTATGCAAGCCACGCCCAGAAAGCATTCCGAATCTTGCAATGACCAATACAGTAAGTAGTTTTCTTCTGTTTCTTTCGACACAGCGCCTGTTAAAGAAGGACGGAAAATAACCCATAGAGATTCAAAATATTATTATTAAGTACCATGCATCTGGACTTACATCTGTTAATATAAGGAAACTACTCAAAACTAGTTACGACTTCAAAACAACTCGACAGAGTGTGATGCGATTCCTTATTCGCTATGCATGATCGGGTTGTGCTTGACTAACATTTTTTTTTTCATATTAAATACAGCATCGTAATATTTTCGTGTACAATTTATAATAAATAAAAGTGAATTGAATACCCTATCGTTTATTTCTATAGCTTTTATCTACCCTATTCTTGTCTCTATGAACGTTCTTGGAAACAAAGAAACATTGAAAAATGCATACGGATTCTGTGCTATTTTCAGAAACCAAGCCCTTAAAATCATTTTTTATTCATGTAAGTAATAATTTTAGGGAGAAATGATTACAGACTTAGCAACAACAACAATAACAAAATTTCAAAAAAAAAAAATTACGAACTAAATTGTCAATTTGAAAGCGGACATGTTAAAATGTAAACGCCTCTCGACCACTAGAAAAAAAATAAATAAAGACGATATATATATTAAATAATGTGTGTTGGTTTACACTCTTCTGACCAACTCAAGATGTTATCGCCAATATAACATACTGTCAAAAAGTTTGATCGCCACATTTTCGCATGGAATTTTCAGTTTAATACACGTAATCAAAAAACAAATCATATATGTCAGAATTAATTTTTATTTAAAGCATTTTCCCATTTCATTTGCTTTATTCACTGAAACCTGTAGGTAAAATATGTTATCTGGAATATACACACAAAGCCCAGTTTAATCTTAAAAAAAATGCTTAGTCCGTGCATGCGTGTTCATCCAAGTTTTTTTTTTAAAGAAACACTGTACATTTCTTGCCATAGTCTCCTAGACGGACGTCTTTCTACACTTTCGTTATTTACTCTAAAACATTGAAAATTTCGATCAAGTATTGTCTTCACACGTGCACAGGTAAAAACTGTGTATATTGAACCGTATCTAATCCCTTTAGTCCAGATATGCCTACAAAGTTTGAGTTTGACAAGGAAACAAAGGGGGGGGGGGGAGGGGTTAGCGGCCGGCATGGGCATATTATATTAATATTTCTTCACTTAGGGCAGTTATGTTAGTTTAAGAGTTGTTGTAAAATGTGCTTTATAAATAAAAATTAATTTCATTACAACGTGTATTGGTAACGATCCTCTAATAAAACTAATGTCGAAATAACTGTATCTCACTTCCATTCTCAATGACCGTGTAGTATAGAGCAGCGCCGCGAGAATTCCATCGGCATCGAAAGCAAGTTTTTTGACTTGCCTAGATAGCCGAGCGGTCTAGCGCGCTGTTCCTGTACTGCTAGGAGACAGATTCCGTAGGTCGAGAGTTCAACCCCGGGCTGGGGCGAAAGTGTGTATCCTTATAAAAGTGAATTTCTTTGTGCTTTCTATATTAATATTTCTTCACTTAGGACAGTTATGTTAGTTTAAGAGTTGTTGTAAAATGTGCTTTCTATATATATATATATATATATATATATATATATACATCTTATAAAAATTAGCACTTATTATAATTTCTATAGACAATTTTGACTCCTGTCCTTTTACAGCTTTGTAGAAAAATCACATAATGAGTTAAATTTAACAATATATGTCACAGGGTCTTTGATTTAAACACTCTTAATTATTTTTAGTTGTTTTTACTTCACATAGTTATATTCGAACCGCCAACGCAAAGACACTGTATATTTATTCCAACATCTTTACCAACAAAGCTACATTGGTTCTAAGTATTGAAGTGTCAAGACAAAAAAAAAAAAAAAAAAAAAAAAAAAAAAAAAAAAAAAAAAAAAAAAGATTGTTATGCACTATGTGGAATTTTCAGATTTCTAGAAGGACAAGTTAGTTAGTTTGTTTGTTTGTTTTGTTTTGTTTTTAAAGAGAGTCTTGATTCCATTTTAAAGGTTTTGTAATGCTACTTTATTGTTTTTGTTCAAATAATAAAATAATGGAAAGTTGAACCACTCAAAAGTTGTTTTCTACACTTTTTAATGCTTTTATCGGTGGACATTTGAAAGACATGTCTTGATTTATAACAAGTTATTCATAGCTAGTTAAACAGATAATAATGAAATTTCAATAAATAAAAATTGTTGCAAATTGAGCATTTTATTCTACATAATCTAAACAGCGACTTTATCATGTGTTTATGGGATTCTCCCCACCTTATTCAGTATCTTCTTTGTGAAATTTGCACTTTTTCATAGTGTAGAAATTACATAGGGCTTTAAAAATATCAAATTTATTCAGTGGATCAATTATATTATTTGACGGTTGAAAATATACATACGGGAGTTTAATTTAAAAAGTAAGATATTTGGACCAATGCAAACATACATTTTCCGATCGCCGAGTACTGGGAATAATGTGATTGACCTGTTCATTTAAATTTCTCAACTGCTCTCAACAAACTTGTTTTTTTATGATAGAATATATTTATAAGTGCTTTAAAATGTTTATATTCGTCCTATGAATTTGTTCATTCTACCATGTGCACCCCTAGCTGGCTGTGGTTTATCGAACATGTAGATATTATCGAATACAATTTAACATCATGCTACAATAATGCATTAGCATACGTGAGCCAGAAACTTTATCTATTGTCCATCTGTCTGTATGTTTGCATGTCATATTGTAACTTTTCACAATTTTAGCTTTTCTCCAGAGTATTTCAACCAAACTCAGTACAAAGCATCGTTTACAAATGAGAATTGATGTAAATTTTAATGAATGACCACCCCCATTTTCCATTGAAAATATTGTGAAACGTAAAATATACTGGGATCATTTACAGCTTCTTCTCAAGGACCACTGGTCAAAAACAAACACCATATTATATAAAACTTCCCTATGGAGTCTAGCTTCTCGGTCGACCCCCCCCCCCCCCCCCCCCGGGAGTGACACAACAGGGGCTCTCAGTTTATCGTAAGAGAATGTATCCGTAAATCCCGGTGTTTTTTAGTCAAGAGAGAGACATTCCTTCCGTTCAAGTCACACATGTTAGGTTAAGTACTTTTCGATATTCAATAGTATGACGTACCAATCGGACACAATTACACAGACAAAAATCATTTTCAGTTTTTAGCCATGTATATGACACAGGGAAAACCAGCAGCAAATATTAGCTTTCCAGACGAGGAAGAAAAAATCCTTAAATATTGGAAAGAAATAGATGCCTTCCGAACTTCTTTGAAACAGTCAGCTGGAAAACCAAGGTAAGTGGGTTCATACTTCTGTGATATTGGGAACATTTCAATTTCTTCTACTCATTCTTTCATACTTTTCTAAATACATTGTAAATAAAAAAGCGTTAAAATGTAATAGGAGTAAAAGTTTTTTATAAGCTTTACAATAAACTAGCAAAAAAAACTTTATATACATAGCAATATAAAAGTAAGAGAAGTTATTAGTCTTGGAAAAAATAGCTCTGCCTTCTTGCTGTAAATATACATTTTCGTTAATATGCCCTGGTATCACTGATAAATTCCAACTCATAGAAATATATTAAATCTTCAGAAGGTGAAAATACACAAAAATTGCAACATCATTTTATTGACGTTTGTAAAACCCCTGTATTTTCCCCTAAACATGCTAAATACACAGAAAAACTTCAGTCGGGTTAAATTTTTTGTTTGACGTTTGATTCATTTTGAATATCATTGAATAAGTACGCTAAAAATCATAGAAATGGGTATATGTATTTTATCAGCAAAAAGAATGGTAAAAAATGTGTATCCTGCTAAAAGAAAGAAGCTAAAGGAAAAAAAGGTTGAACTTGGAAATATTCCATTCTTCATTAAATGTAACACAACACTCCAAACGTAAATTTAAGAAATGTTTTTTTTAGTTTTGTGTGAATTATTAGTATGTTAATCACACAGACTTGTCACGTAGGCATATTTCACGAAGCGCTAGCGCGCTTCCTGAAAATAAGCCTACGTGCAAATCTGTGTGATTTACACACCCCATTAATTTACCCTACAATTAAGAAAAAAGTCAAAAGTCTTAAGAATTTTCTGTCAAGTATATTTTTATATTTTTTATCTACACACATCTATCTTAACTAAAAAATCAAAACAAAAAAAATGGGGTCAGTACGCTTCTTTTGGCGCTAGTCGATACATTTAATAATAAATATGACCTTTTTACACTGAAATTGTCTCTTAAACATAAATCATTTTTTCGAAGTTTTTCTTCAATATTTTTTATCCAAACAAATCAATGGTACCAAATATAACTTAATCTAATCTTGAAAAGACACAATAAAAATTGTGACAAAGAAAAAATTTCAAATTAATCGCATAATCAATGACTTGACCTTCAAGCACTCAAAAATTGTCAAATTAAACAAGCAGAAAATTATTCTAAAAACTTGAATGTTTACTGAATTTAAGCAGAATGATAAAAGTAATCTAATATATTCAGAAAAGAAAATCAAACGTCGGGGTCTAATGTAAATTTTTAGATATTACTGAATAAACGTTAATTTTAGGTTAAAATTGGCCCTAGTTTTTCCTGGTCTTTCAGAATATATTTGCTATATTTCACACAAAATGATGATAGAAATCATAAAAGTTAATTTAAGAAATATTTCAGGACCAGCTTAAAACATTTCACTGCACAAAATAACTCTGTATGTAGCCGGCTTGGAAAAATAGGAATCCAAACTTATCAGTACTGTAAATACTTTGAAAGAGAAAAATAGATTATTTCTTCTAAAAGAACCATCCGCCACAAAATATAGTTCCTCACTAAATTCTCTTTGTATGGAATTAAATCGTGGGCATTTAATTTGATATAGCTTAACTTGCATTGTAGAATCCAAATTTAATGTAAAAACTGAAATATGATGCAGAATTCTAGAAATAAATATCCAGACAAAAATCTGCTCAAAGGCTCAGGATCGAACCTCTTTAAAAACATTCCTTATATTTACATTTTACACGTTTAAAAGCAGCAAAAATATACTCAGTGTCTGAATTTCTTGCAAATCTATATCGTTCTATTTTTATTAAATATCGTATCACATCTGAAGCCTCAATGTGACGACAGTTTCGCTCGAGTATATTTCTACGCGTGAGTATATTTAAGCATTGAATTGATTTCTTTTTTTTTGACGTCGTCAGTCCTATAACAGCACATGGCGTTAGCGCGCGGTATGATAATTTGTCGATACGGACAGGTACTGTTCATTTATTCTCTAATTTTCTGACCTGTCACGGTAGCCTTGTGGTAGGGCGCTCGGTTCGTGATCGGGAGGCCCGGGTTCGATACTCGTTCGCGCGCCGCGTCAAACCTAAGACGTAATCATAGGTAGTGACTGTTCCTTCGCCAAGCGCTCGGCACTAGAGGTGAAAGTCACGGGTCTTTCGGATGAGACCTTAAAAACCGAGGTCCCGTGTCACGGTAGGCGTTGGCACTGCTCAAGGCCCTGAGTGCCGAGTATAGGACTAAATGTGAAGCCCTTCACCGGGAGACGGTGACGTCTCAATATGAGTAAAAATTCTCGAATGGGACGTAAAACAACATACACCCAATCAATCAATCTAATTTTCTGTATTCATGATTGTTTATTTCGTTATTCTTTATTATGAATTTAGCACGTTATACAGAGCTGGTGTGTTTAATAGACGTAAGAGCCGTTGGGACTTGGAAAGTTAAATAACGCAAATAAATTTTGTGAGGGAAAAATGACAACTCGAAAAGTACAATTGTTATATCTTTACGAAAAATTTATATGGTAATTGTTTTTAATTAAATTGAGCCAAACCAATATGCATTTTGATGTTCTTAGTGTATTAAAAATGTATATATATAAAGTTCCTACTGTGTATTACCGCGCAGTGACAAGATTTCGCGTGTGTTATAGAGTATTGAATGTTGTAGATTTCCAATGGATTTCATAAAGAAAATTACACTGAATGTGTAATAACACAGCAAATGTAAATATAATCAAATACTAGAAGAGTAATTAAACACATATGTATATCAATCAGGTACACGTTTTATGATGGGCCACCATTTCCAACTGGACTGCCTCATTATGGCCACATTTTGGGTGGAACAGTAAAAGATGTAGTTACCCGCTGGGCTCACCAAACGGGCTTCCATGTAGAGAGAAGGTTTGGATGGGATTGTCATGGTCTACCAGTGGTATGTGCAGAATGTTTAGTTGCTCTGAAAACCAACGTTCTTGCAGAGTATATATTCTCAAAGATTTTGATAAAAAAGGCTTTTGTAAATTTAGGAATATATAGATATTCAAAAATTTAATAAAGCAGGCAGTTAATTGAGACTAGTTGTTTTTTCTGACTCATTCAAGGAATATGAGATTGACAAATCATTAGGACTCAAAGGTCCCGAGGATGTTCAGAAACTGGGGATTAAAGCGTACAATGATGAATGTAGGAAGGTTGTCATGAGATACTCCACCGAATGGCAGGTGAATTTTACAGGAATAATTTAATACAAATAAAGAAACAAAACATCAACTGACATTTTTTTCAATCCTTTAATAGTACATACAGTACCAACCAGACCCAACCTGACACAAAGCAGTCCCAGAGCAGTCCCGGGGACTGCTTTCTGGGCTGCTAAAGCAGTCCCAGAGCGGTCCCGGAGCAGTCCCAGAGCAGTCCCAGAGCGGTCCCAGAGCAGTCCCAGAGCAGTCCCACAGCGGCCCCAGCAGTCCCAGCGGTCCCAGAAAGCAGTCCCAGCAGTCCCAGAAAGCAGTCCCAGCAGTCCCAGTGGGCGGGGTTAATTAATTTAATGGGCGGAGCTTACTCAGAATGAGATTACCAATAAACAATGTAACTATATAAAAGGCAGTTGAAATTGATGAGCAATTCTTTCTGAGTAGTATCAACAAATATTTACAATTCTTACGCGACAGTCATTTCTGAACTGTTAAGAAAATCACAGTACGCGTATAGAAACAAATTATAATTATTGAATGAAGAAGACGTTCACACATATTAATAACATGAATATTTAAACACAATTATTTGGTATATTAATTTTTAACCAAAATAAACCAATTTCTTTATTTTTTGTAATTGATATTGGTTTTCATATTTATTTTTTTATATAGAAAATTAAACTTGAATTGTTTATTTTATACCAGAATTAGCTTTAAATAGATAATAATAATTATGGAGCAAGGCCGATTCCCATACTATACTCTGAATACATTTTTCTTAAGTATTGGAGCTTTTGAAAAATTCTTTGTTAAACATTGCCGAGTATTATATTTCAGTCATGATTATTTTCAATGACTTCTTAATTAAATCATCTTTAGATTCTCAGTTTTAAGTGTTTTATTATATAAATGTTCGAGTGTACATCTGTAAATCACGCAAATGGAACCCTCAGATTATGTTCAAAATTAATTAATCCCGAAATAAATTTATACACAATTATTGAAACTAAGATATTTTGCAGGACATAGATTGAAATTAGTGTCAATGTTGACCAGCGTGTTCAATGATGTGTAACACTGATACCCAAATAACATGCATTGACTTTCTGCTAATGCCCAAAGGCCATTGAAACCTCAGGTGTTGACACCATTTTATACAATCCAGCTTTATTAACCGGCCAGGTAAACACAAACAAAGAAATAAGAAACAAGTCACAATTCCCGATATTTTCAAATGTTTATTTTTTAAATAAATGTACTCTTTTAATAACTTGTTTATAAATTAAAAACTAATTCATAAATAAATCCTCGAATAATTTTTCACATTGTTTATGTGACAGAAGAATGGTAGAATAATTTTATTTCATGGTCATTAAATAAATTATTACGTTTTATTTTAGGGTGGTAAAAAATAGCATGGAGTGCTCTTTTTTAAGCATGGTATTAGCTTTTTTCAATTAAGAAAAAAAAAAATCCAGTACAGTACGTTCCTCTGAACACATGTATCTTACTGAAATGACAAGTTTGTTTGTTTTTAAATAGTGCTAATGCAAACTTTGAGTACATATATAATTTGAAAGCATTAATTTATTAAATAGGCCTAGATAATTTTTTTTTCCAAACACCTGTATTGAAGTTTAATTTAAGGGATAAAAATCATCCCCTGACTTCCCTTTTTAACTACTTTTATTTTCTTAAAATTAATTCTAGACTACAATTGTGTAAATTTACAGCCCTCTTAAGACATTTAGTAATTACATGTATAACTATCTCTATTTATTTAATTTTTGTAAGAAATTAATACTTGTTTTTTTATATTTGTTTCTATCTTAAACACCTCTCTGCAGAAAGTAAACAAAACAACAACAAGGAGCTGCAAATTCAGAATACACAAGGGGCGGAGCTATCATGTCACTCATAACCTTTTTCACGCATGAGTAAACAAAGCAGTCCCAGAAAGCAGTCCCAGGGACTGCTGGGACTGCTGGGTCTGCTTTCTAGAGCAGTCCCACAGCAGTCCCAGAGCAGTCCCATAGCGGTCCCAGAGCAGTCCCACAGCGGTCCCAGAGCAGTCCCACAGCAGTCCCAGAGCGGTCCCAAAGCAGTCCCGGGGACTGCTTTCTGGGACTGCTTTGGTGTCAGGTTGGGTCTGGTTGGTACTGTATGTAGATATCACGCATTTATTTCTATATTATTTCTCTATAATTAAAAACTTTTCTACGAATAAGTTTTTGCATTATATATGTTATAAATAATTAAAACTAAATATAAAACTGAACGTACAGATGATTAAGCGATAATTTTCTCATTTTCATAAAATCAATCGGACATTGATAAATTGTGACATTTTCAGGAGATTGTAACCCGTCTGGGACGCTGGATTGACTTTGAGAACGACTACAAAACAATGTACCCCTCTTTTATTGAGAGTATTTGGTGGGTGACTAAAGAGTTACATAAAAAGGGCTTATTGTATAAGGACACAAAGGTTGTGCCGTATTCCACTGCCTGCAACACCCCTCTGTCAAATTTTGAAGCTGTACAGAATTGTAAGGTCGTGGAGGATCCATCAGGTACTATCATATTATATATATGTGCCTCAAGTGAATATCATGTGAAAAGAGTTTAACATGAAAAGTCTTCCTTTTTTGTGAAATTCACATGAAAGAATTTCGGCTGATCTTATTTTGTGTGATTCACTTGAAATTTGCATGAAAATGTTACATTTGGCATGTTTGCCTTCAATGGTATTTCATGCAAGGTGGAAAACAGGAAAAGTGGTACTTGAACACAAAAGTATCTTGAGTCTATTTATTTATTCATAGCGTTCTTACTCAAATATTCAGATGGAAATGCATACCGTAGATTCCTAAATAAACGCACGGTATTTATTATCTCCAAATTTCGTGAGAAGCACCGCTCGCGAAATAAAATTACTCGCTTTTATTTTTACATGTATGTGGCTGAAATACATGAGAAAACTTTTAATCAACAGTCCTCTTGCGAATTTCTGTTCTCGCGATTTGACGTCTACGAGTCATTTTTCGATATTTTAAAGTAATCACGTAAAGTAAGGAATCTACAGTATCATTTAAAGTTAACCTTACTTCCTTGTCACTTCTCCTGTATTTATACTGTATAAAAAGAAAAAAAATGAATGTATAAAATTTTAAGCATTTTTTATTCAATTATTATAATTATATATAAGATATTGTTGAATGAAATTCGCTTTTTTTCCAGTGATAGTAACATTCCCTCTTCTGGATGACCCCAATGTTGCCATGGTTGCCTGGACAGCATCCCCGTGGACGTTGCCTAGCAACTTATCTCTTTGCGTGAATCCCAATATGAACTATGTTAAAATCAAAGGTGATTTCGATTTAACTAGTTTAACTAGATTATAGCAGACTGATTTTTCTTAATATCTAAAAGTAAGAATATCTTCACCGAAAACATTTTTATCATATATTTTTCTGTATACTCATGCACTTCAACGAATTCAGTTCTCACAACTGTTCAATTAGTTGAACTGGTTTTTTTCCTCAATAACAGATAACTCCACAGGGAAGGTGTACATTATGATGGAAGCTAGATTGGAGGCTCTGTTCAAAAAGGACAACGAGTACACAGTTTTAAAGAAGTAAGACCCATTTCTTTTAAATCAGTCATTAATTTCTACAAATTAGAAAGTAAATGAAGGATTCTGTAAGAAGTAATTAAAGGGATTTTTTATGGTCTGAAGCATGTTGAATTGTACATATAAAGAATATTTTAGTGCATGAAGAATCCATAATAAAAACTTCAAAATTCTTGTAGATATGAAGGACGAGCTCTTGAAGGCATACGATATGACCCAATCTTTCCATACTTCAAATATGTAAGTCAACATAGAAATTATTTAGTGTAAGTCTCGAGGATCAGGTGAACTTAAATACCATAAAATGAATAAAAATAATTATTTCATGTTTTAAAATGGAAAATTTCTATTGATAATGAAGGGAATCGATAAACATAATTTATCAAAAACTTTTTGAGCCTCTGTCCAATGCCTAGTACTACATTGCATACTAATACTACAGAATTTTTTTTAATCTGCCAACTGTGGAAGTCTCTGAGGTTTTATTAGCATCAATCATATAATCAGTCATATGTAGTTATAGTATTTCGTTGTATATAATTATATACATTTATATAATCTCAGGTAAAAGGAAGAATTTTAAATTGACCAATCATCTTATTTGAAAATCATTTAGGGAATTTTGCAAATAGGGGACTAGGATATGGGACACTTCTCAAGAATATGGACGTAAATATTTTCCTTAACAACAATAAAACAGCGCCATTAATAGACTTAAGCTGATCTGGCAATCAAAAATACTGAAATTCCCTCCCATATGTATATTTGTAAATGAATATATATGGAAGTTAATTAGGCTGAGAAAATATATAAATCAGAAATTGGGAAGACTTTCCTTATCTTTCATATCTCACTGTTCAATGTAAATTTTTCTTGGTCGGACCTGGTGGTCTTCAGACATTTATTCACACTCATGCAATCCTTGTTGGATCTACTAATTAATTGCATAAATATTTTCTGATTCAAATTTGACTCTTTTTAGATGAGAGAGAAGACAGGTGCATTTCGAGTTCTACTAGATGAGCAAGTTTCAGCTCAGAGTGGGACAGGTGTAGTCCCCCAGTCACCCTACTTTCAAGAGGTGCTTTACTTCATCTTTGTAATAAAAAAAAGCACAAAGTTTAAAAGCATGAAAATTGAATTGAATTAAACAAGATATAAAGAAAAAAATTAATGCGATTTACAAAGTCTTAAAGCCTTGTATACCTCTTTGAAAACTGTCAAATCACATGTTTTAGTGTGTTCAAATTTTCGTTGTTTGAGGATAAAACACAGGATCGTAAGTATTTGATTGCGGGAAAAAAGTGTTAAATTGTTATATACTGTGGAATCATTTTATTCGTGAGGGTCAATGTTCGTGGGCAGGCAAAGGTTTACTTGTTTGTGGGGATGTAATTTTATGGGTTACTCATTTAAATACAGAAAATTCAATGAATCAATATGTTTACAAAATAAACGTTCTTCGGGATGTAAATTCCCCTACGTACAATGATGATACCACAGTATACGAAATTTTGAATTTCGTGGAGGATAGGAATTTATGGGTCTCTTTTACCACGAAAAGAACGAAAAGTAAACCCGCACGAAAATTAGTGATTTCACAATACATTTATATGAACTATGTCATGAAACGTACCTGTATATAATACTATATTTTAAATTTTTGCCCTAAGCAAATCGTAAAATGCATGTCAATTTAGACTAGAGTATCAGTTCTAGTTGGTCGTAGCTTAGGAAATCTTTTGATACTCAGTTGACGTTAGGGCCTTTTGTCAAATTTTTAGGATGATTATCACGTGTGTTTGAGGTATGGTGTCATCACCAAAGACATGAAAATTATATGTCCCGTCGATGCAACTGGAAAATTCACCGATGAGGTTGAAGATTTCAAAGGACAATATGTCAAGGTTATCTGTTGTACTTTATTATTGCTATCACATATTCAACAAGTATTGTTTTAAGCATAGATCAGAGTAAATGAAGTCGATGAATTTCACATATATAAGAATTGTTCATACTCTTCCTAGAATGCAGACAAATGCATTATACAATACTTGAGAGAGAAGGGTCGTTTGGTACATCAGACAACATTCAAACATAAATACCCATTCTGCTGGAGGTAAACCATTTTCTGCCTTATAATTGCTCTACTCTGCGTGCAGCTCAGAAATTAAAATGCCACTAGTTCATTCATTATCCTCTTATTTACTTCTTGTTAAAGAATACCGACTTACAATTCCTGGTACCAAATGCCTTGTTTTAGTAATATCTTTCATTAAAACATTATGATATTATTAAATTAGGTCGGAGACACCATTGATTTACAAGGCTGTGCCCAGCTGGTTTGTGAGAGTGGAACAGGCAACAACACAGCTACTAGAAAACAACCAGAAAACATACTGGTCAGTGAATGGAGACATCAATTATCATAACCACTTTACACAATCAAATATCAGCTACTGAAGAGAAACTTCTTACTAAATTGATTTTCCAAACATAACTAAATTAACGTAAGCTTCTTTCTTTCCTTCTGCATTAGCTCTATACGCACGAATTTTTATTTTTAAAAAAGAATTTTATTTAAAGGGTGCCAGACTTTGTGAAAGAAAAGAAGTTCGCAAATTGGCTCCGGGAACCCCAAGACTGGGTTGTATCTCGTAACAGGTACTGGGGAACACCAATCCCAATTTGGATCAGTGAAGACGGAGAAGAGGTATAAGAGTGTAAAAAAGGAGAATTCCCAATTTAAATGTTCAAAAAATGAAAAAAAGAAATATATATATTGAACGATTGAAGAAATTATCAGTGCATGTGAATTCTTTAAAACAACTTACTAAGTAACTAAAAATAATAATTGTTTGAACAAATCTTAATAAATGATAAAATGCAGTTTATTTTGGTCGTACATTCATTACAAATAATTTATGCAGCTTTGATTTATCCACTGTCATTTCATTGTGACCTGTATTATATCATTTTCAGACATCATTATTCATGTATCAGGCCATCTTTAAAATAATGTTTGTTTGCCCTCTCCCGACTCAGGGTAAAAATATAGAGTCGGTAGGTAGGTGGGAAACTCTTTTTTCTAGAAGATTTCAACATATTTGTTGACAGGATAAGGAGAATAAAAAGAAAAAAAATATCGTATCCGGAATGTAAGCAAAAGTTTTGAGTCGGGCCATTTTAGTCAGTCGGTCGGGAGAGGGCAACCAAACAATTTCCTAAAGATGGCCTCAGTAAAAATATTTTCCCTAAGCTGTTGCTCATTTGTTAATTTCACGACTTTATTTTAGTGAAAAAGGTAAGTAAAACACTAGTAGCCCAAAAATAAAGACGAAGGCCGTTGTGGAACACATGAGTTATTTCTCTACATTGTTACTAACAGATTGTTTGTGTCGGATCAATAGAGGAACTTAAACAACTGTCAGGTGTAGAAGTCACAGATCTCCACAGAGAATTGTAAGATGAAAGAATCTTAATAATCATCCATAAAATCTAACATTTCATGTATTGATGCATAAAGCAAATTAATGCACATCAAACGGAAGATTACTCATTCTCTAAAAATGGAATTTTCGGACAAAAAAAACAATATTTAGATTTTAAGGTATATCACTCGTGAAATTTGTTATATCAAGGATTTTTGAGAAGTATATTTTAGATAAATACTCATACAGCATGACTCAAAATCGCAAAGAAAACTGGGGTCAGTGTGCACCTTACTGAACAACGGTAAAAATTATAAAATTGACCTTTTTGCACTTAAATTGCAACTCTGATATTTTATCAGATGTAATCATGGCAATAAATATAATCTTATTTTACATAAAATAGTTGGAATAATATGTATCATTGAACAAATCATGCAAATTTATGCGCATAAATTATTGTGTGACCTTTTTGCACTAAAAAGTACCATATTTGGGGTATTAAAAATCCAAATAGGCAATCAATTTTTTCGTGTATCAAACATTTTATGACTTTTTTTACTGATCAGTTGGAAGTATTGTGTTGTTTAAAATAATGAAAGAAAAAGGTGGGGTCACTGATGTAAATTTTGCGATATTGGTCAAAACATGCGATTTTCGGGGAAAAAAAAACAAAAAAAAACAAAAAAAAAACAAAAAACAAAAAAACAAAACAAAAAAAAAGAAAAAAAAAAACAGTGTAATTTTATCTAGACTACTTTAATATATCTTCATTTCTTTGCAGATCTGTTGAGTGAATGTGTAAAATTTGTTCTAAAATATACATTGAAACCTATATCTAATATCCTAGCATATAATAACGGAAAATAGTCTCTGAGTAAAAATATATGGGTTTTTCTTTTATTTGAGGTACGTCACTCGTCAGCTTTTAAGAAAAGTTTGGTCAGAAACTTTAACTTCAAAACTATTCATTACATTTCAACTTTTATAGCATATTTGAATTAAACAATGCAAATTTTACAATATTCAGTTTATAATCTGCTCACGAAGTCATAAAGAAACAAGATTTATGGGGGACTATTTCTTGTGATGGAAGGATATTTAGAAGAAAACAGAACTCCTGAAGTTTCTCCTTCACTATTGTTAATATTTTCATGAGAAGTAAAGAAATAGGCTTGGTAGAACTTATACCAGAACATGCTATGTATCTTTGTAAGGGTTTATTATGAAGTTTAGAAATTCAGTATATGCTAGGTATCGTATTAAATTTGGTTGTTGGGAATATAAAAAAAAAATATTTAAAAACTGATATATAATTTTGGTGAATTTCCTCCTTTAAGGAAGAAAACCATGAGTTATGCAATCTGGCTTAAAAGTAAAGAAAATTAACTGTTTTCACTAATGAAAACCCTTCAAATTAGTTTGGATAATGTCACCATCCCTTCCAAACTCGGAAAAGGAGTCCTAAGACGTACCCCTGAAGTGTTTGACTGTTGGTTTGATATTGGCTGCGTGCCTTATGCCCATATTCACTATCCCTTTGAACGGAAGAGTGATTTTGACGATTCCTTTCCTGCTGACATCATAGCTGAAGGACTGGATCAGACGAGAGGATGGTATATTATATCAATTAAAATACATCTAGCTCTTAATAAGCGGAGGGAATGCAAATATACTATACTGATACATACTGTATGGATACTTATAAGGATTAGTCTCGTAGCGTAGCATCATTTGATATTCTCATAATGTATTATTTAAATATATCCTAAAAGGAAAAAGAAACACATACCTAAATACATAAGGTTAGCATTTATTACTATGCGACACTATGAAAGCCAATTTCAATTTTGTGTAATATTTTATTCATTACTGTCATAAATAATGGCATTATATTGAATCAAACGGCATTTAAGCACCACAGTTATTGATTGTAGGGGTCTGAATTTTAAAATTCAAAATTTCGAAAGTCAAAGTCGTAGGTCGAAATCCCGCATTTACAGCAGCTGGTATCATTTTGAACATGGAATTGCTCAGATGGCTGATTCTTCGAATAGGCATGAGATTTCATTCCGTCATAAGAACTTGCATTCAGCTCACTGGTGGTGCTTAAATTCGGATTTTGAAATCAAATGTGTTGATCCATTTCTTCCCTTAATTGATTTTTTGGAGACAATTCGGGACTAAATGGTAAACATTCTGAGTTCGTACATTGTTAGCCACAAGGAAATCTCAGTATCCCCTAGGAACACTCGTTCTTGTCATGGGAACACGTTGTTCTAAAAGGATGGCCAGCGTGCTTTGAGGCCTGCCTCTACGAGACTTTTGAGTAAAGTTTCCTCTCTAATTCTGACATTGTGGTGTCCAGGGATGTTAATAGCGGTTTCACTTGCAGCTCGAAATCGTTCCGTCCATTCATGTCCAGTTCAATTTATCGATTCGATATTGTCGACATCGCAATGTAGACAATGTTGACACGATGTAGAGTTTATACCGTCTACATTATTTCAGAATTTCAGTAAGGTGTAGCATCTTTTAGAGTCAAAATCTGATCAAAATCCCAACGGATATTTAAGAAAAAAAAAATTCATTAGAGATTGCAAAAATGCTTCAACATATCCAAAATTCTAGCTACATGTCTTTCAACTTGAAGCTCAAAGGCAAACTACTAGTGCTCATGTCGAACACGCCAGATTCATGGTTGAGTGATTTTCTACTGAATATTCATTTCAAATAAATTCAAAACTACTATGTATATTAACCATGATTAGACGCAGTTGCAGTAGATCAATAAAACATATGCGTTTCTTTTTCCGTTCAGTATTTTTACGTCAATAAAATTGGTTTAGCATAATTTTTTATGGTTATTTAAAAGTGAAATATTTTGTGTCATGTGAATAAACCGTTTTATTCTTCCCAGACTGCTAGCGAGACTTTATTTCATGTACAGCTCAAAAAGAATTATTTATTCCAGGTTCTACACACTGCTTGTGCTATCCACTCTACTTTTTGGAAAACCAGCATTCAAAAATGTCATTGTCAATGGCATTGTCCTGGCTGAGTAAGATCACTTTTTGCATTCTCTAATTTAGAATATTGTGTATAAATATATATATATATTTATTTACCAATAAATTCTCAAGTGTCGCAGAAGGACTCGAGACAATGAGAATGACATACTAGTATGTCATACTAAGATTTTTGCAATGATGGCTTCATATTACTGTTACACACGACCGTTGATTTAAATAGCCTTTTACAGTTTAAAAATATGTTTAACCACCCAAATAGTACTAATTATAAAGGATATCCAAATCCTATAGCAAATTTATTAATTTATCAAAGTCATTTTGGTTTTATCCAGAGATTTTAAAATTACAATGAAACTTGCTTATAATATCTAATTTAGAAAAGTATAATAATTAAGTCTTTAAAATTCTTAGATATTTCCTACACGTATCTTATCATCTTATTCTTTTAAGGGATGGAAATAAGATGAGCAAAAGACTGAAGAACTACCCAGACCCAATGCTGATTGTCCACAAATATGGTGCTGATGCACTCAGGTATGAAATAAATACTGATATGACCAGCAAATATTCTTAAACAAAGATTCTATTCAGGTACGAGAGTTAGTAGTATCCTTTTGAAATTAACATTTGCTTTCACTAGCTATCTAGTTTAAAAGCACACAAGATACTTTCTATTCAAAATATTGTGACGGATCAGATTGCTAAATGTATACACATTCGTGTTACACAATAAAAAGTATCAAGAAAACTTGAAATAGCTATAGATTACATACATGTATAATTACAGTTTCTTAATTTTATTATCATCAACTTGATTTCTAGTGTTTCATTACAGATTTTACCTGTGCAACTCTCCTGCTTTAAAGGCAGAAGGTCTACGGTTTAAGGAAAAGGGGGTAGATGGAGTGGTCAAGCGTGTGTTCCTTCCTTGGTACAATGCCTACAGATTCTTCATGCAAAATGTCGACAAATATCAGACTGTAAGCCTTCCTACATACTGTATATGGTAGATGAGTAAATTATAATCGTGTAAGATCAGTTTGGTGGACACCATATCTATGGGATGAAAGAAAGAGATCAACAAATAAAACATGACATAGAAAATATTGAAATTGAATTGTGATTTGAAATGGATAAAAAAGTATGTAGTTAAGAATCATAAAAGATTTACCTGAATACAAAACGCTGCACGACCAACAAAATCATTGTTAACTCTGTGTAAAGGTAACTGTTTTGTGTAAAGGTAACTGTTTTGTGTAACAAAAACATATATTGATCGAGGTTACTGCAATACTTTGCTAAGAAACGTTGATATAGATATTTTTTGTTTCAGGAACATGGTCTGATTTTTTTGGTCAGCGAGAATAAGATCACCAAACGAGCCAACTATACTGACCGCTGGATCCTGTCACTAACTCAATCACTCATCAAGTTTGTTCGAAACGAAATGAAAGGTAACGTAATGTCGATTTACTTCATTGTATATAATGCTTTTGAAATATGCAGCTTTCTATAACCATTCGCAAGTTTTGTTTGAATATTATTTACCAGGTACTTTGTCTATATCAATTCGTTTTAAATACGCACGTGTACGTTTATATGCTTGTCTGCTTTTTCTCTTAAAATCTTCTAAGAAATGAAAGGGTACCACCGAAAATATTTAAAAAAAAACACATACATCCAGTCACTTCAGAAGATAGAGGTCTCTGATCTTATGAAATTATTCAAAACGAAAAAAAAAAATTATTTAAGTTTATAATTTATGTAACATTTTTTCACGTGATATTAAATAAATTTATGATCATAGTGTTTTGTGGCTTGTGTATGAAATAAGTGTGTCTTGTATTTTCAAGCATACCGTTTGTACACGTTGATGCCGACACTTGTAAAATTTATAAAGCAACTCACCAACTGGTACATCAGGATGAACAGAAGGAGACTAAAGGTAAAAAAAAGTAACGTTAAGGGTCAAAAATAGAGGAAAATGAAAGTAAGAAATAAGTAAATGACATCTCTGAAAATAGAATGAAAATAAAAAATCTTTTGATAATTTAAACTTGGTAGAAACACATACTCAGTCTGTAAATCATAATCACAAGATTAAACTGCGCCATTTGGTCAGCTAAATTGTCACCGGAAAGTCTGGAAATGTGACTGAATACCGCCATTCAGTCATCCTTCAGTAAAGTTTCAGTCACCACTCAGTTAACTTGGTGATAGAGTTGCATCATGTGAATATAATTTTGTTCTAATTGTCAGGGAGAAAATGGTCTGGATGATTGTAGGATGGCCTTGGAAACTCTATTTTCTGTTCTAATGACCATGAGTAGGCTTCTGGTGAGAAATTTATATTTATATTTATATTAGAAAGGTTGCCAATCAAAACCTCAGATTTCATGTATTTCTTATATTCTTTGCATGAACGTTAATTGAGCATATTCCACAAGAATAAAAAATTAACTTGGTTTGTTTTAGAAGAAAGTATAAAGCAAAAGAAGAAATTTGAACGTGCTTGGTGCTGCTAAGCAAAATTAGTTTTTCCTTTCCAATGATATCATTTTGAATATGATCCTATAAATCTGTCAATATTTTCCAGGCTCCCATGATTCCATACATCACAGAATACATGTTCCAGGGTCTTCGGAAATGGATTGATCCCGAGTCTGTGGAAACACAGGACATTCGCAGTGTTCACTTTCTTATGATACCCAGTTATCGGTGAGAAATGGAATTAAATCAAAGCTTCATAGATAAACATATTTTATGAGTTTCTAGGTGAAACATGTTCAAATAATTTAATATTTGCCGTGTTGCCTCTTGATTGGTGTAGAGTAATCCTTTTCAAATACATCGTTTATGCTACTATATATAAAAAAGTATTCGAGGCTTTAATTTTGCCACTAAGATATTGATTACATTGCAAGACTGTATGTCTTAATTTAAACAATGCGAACTTGCAGCAGGACACAAAATTGATTATGTATAAGATATTTCATATATTAATCATTTTTTTAGGAAGACAATAGTGTAAAAACGAAGTTATAAAAATGATAAATTAAATTTACTGTGGTGACTTGTCTGAACAACATTTGATATTTGCTAAAAAACTATACGTGAGATTATTTTACAAGGCCAGAAAAAAAATCATCATTTTAAAAATAATTTTACTATCTGTAGGGAGGATCTGATCGACACTGCGGCCGAAAGATCCGTGTTTCACATGCAGTCTGTTATAGAATTGGGACGCATCATAAGGACAAGGAACAAATTACCCCTTAAGTATCCCCTCAAAGAGGTCGTCGTCATCCATAGTGACCCAGAGATTGTAAAAGACATTCAATCTCTCAAGTCGTACATTGTGAAGGAACTAAATGTACAAACGGTCAAAATATCTGAGAACAAGTCCGATTATGGGGCACATCTTGTTGCGAGAACCGATTTTAAGTCGTTGGGAGCTAGGATGAAAGTAAGAGGACGAAAATTTAGTGACTGTTTCAATTAGTGATTTTAAATATATAAGAAGAAAAATATGTTTTTCTTGGTGAGGATATGTAAAACCATTCATGTTCTTGAAAAATACTAATGATAGTAGTAAAATTAAAAATTAAAATAGAAGAATTATTGCAAGAGTAACACCTTTGCAGGAAGCTGTGAAGACTATTGATAAGACTGTACAGAAACTGACAGATGCAGAGCTGGAAGATTTTCAGTCAAATGGAAAGATAGCTGTGGCTGGCCATGTGTTGGGGCAAAGAGACATTAAAATAATGTACAAGTGCGACAGGGCTAAGGTGAAAAATTCCTTTGACGCAAACTGGAAAAAAGAGGTAAATCTATCTTTTTTTAACAGATATGTGACAAAGAGCCTGCATATTGTGATGAGAAATCTTGACATGGCTCAACAGCTGAAATAAGTTTCAGTGTCATTTTTCCCATACAGTGATAGAAAGAGATATAATTGGGGTAGAAAGGAGAGACATTTGGTTTTTAAAGAATGTTTCTTATGTTCTTTAATATACGTTGTAAAATTTCAGCTTTTCAGATTTCAATTGGATTAATCCTAACAAAACAATTACTTTAGTAAACTATAGATAACTACAGTAAATCAAAGTTTAAATGTTTTTACTATAGTAAATCAAAGTTTCAAAGTTTTTACTGTAGTAAATCAAAGTTTCAAATATTACCATTCAATATATAGACACTGTAGTTTCAAATGTTTCAAATGCTTTGATAATATAGTTTACTATTGTAGTATTTTTTGTTGGGGATGTGTTGAATTAATTATAATGAATGGGAGAGGGTTTTCTTCACTTATACTAGTATTAGTATCCTTTTTTCCCTAGATTTTAGTTTTAATGGACATAGTTCCAGATCAGAGTATGCTGGATGAGGGTGTAGCCAAAAAGGTCATCAACTTAGTCCAGAAACTACGAAAAAAAGGTCAATCTGTATGTGTACACAATTATCAGAGAAATTGTATTAAACTGTGAAATTAAATCGCATAATAACTCTTTAGAGGATTGTTTGTTTGTTTCCTTTACGTTGCTTTGAGAATTTTTACTCAAAAGAACTGGGAGGATAAGCCGAGCCATATGCTTACTTAACGACAGAAAAAAAATCAATAAATTTATTTCTCACAAATGCCACTTTATGTTAAAGTAAGGTAATGTTTATTACCATTTGCATACAAAATTGATAATACCTGAATGCAGTAACAGTAAAATTGATTATAATTAGCACAACAAAATGGCAACACGCTCAATTTTCACAAATACTGACAAAAATTGGATGCTATAACTACATTTTTAAATTGAGTGGGTCTTTACACCACTTTTTTTAGAACGAATAATGAAAGGCAATGGAAAGATATATCTTCTACATTTGCGAAAATTGGATATGATGACCTACTCTACATAAAAAATTAAGTTTACTTACGTAAATTTTACCGTGGTTTTAAAAATTTCTAAGTCCAAATACACTTGTTAAATACGGAGAACTATTCGCTATTTAAATAGCCATGTTTATGTAACCGTTGTGTAGTGGTCAGCGAGGAACCCGGGCTGTTTAAAAGGACATTTATGGAGGAAAGTGTTCGAATCATGCTCTGATGTTTGGATATTTTTCTATGGTGTTGTATACTTTATAATTAAGTCGAAATGTTGCGATATAGGAATAAAACATTTTTCACTAAAACTAAATTTGTGTTAAATAATGAACCCATTTACAGTAAATTAATTAAAATGCCGGATAAAATTTATAATAAATATTGGAATAAGTGTATTTCCGTGTTTTTATTTATTTTTTACTACGAGCTTAGCCAAAAGATCACCACTATCATTATATACAATGTAAACATTTGAATAATATATACACAATTTGTATTAACATTCAGTATACAGATTGCAGAATAGAAATCACTACCTTGTTAAACTTTCTGTGGCAGAAAAAGAAGATCAAGTGTTTAGCTTGTTTAAAATCTAGATACAGTATATCATCATTTTGACAAGTACTGTACACATTTTAATGCTTTGGTCAATTCGAACAATCAAGATATTTCCAATCTGCGTACTTGCATAGCCGCCAAAAAAGGGGCATTGGCATTTGGCTCATCCATTCCTCCCAAATTCTTTGACACATATCGCTTACTCTCAATAAATCTTTGAGGGTAAGATATTATCAAATCCAATAATATAATGAATTTTGAATAAATATTTGTACAAAGCTTAAGAATATTATTGGAAAGCAGGTTAACTTCAAATTAAATTAATGAAAAAAATCAACTGAAACTGCATATGAAAATTTCCTTAAAGGGAGATGTCACTCCGTCAGATCAGATTACCGTGTATTACAAGGCATCTGGAGATCTACAGAGGATAATCCAGGAGTTCAGTGATTTTATCTCCAATGCCATGGGACATCAAATCTTACCATTCCCTGTCCCACCATTACAAAAAGTCTTCCTGCAGAAAGCAATGAAGGTAAGTCTAACATCTATGATGGATCAAAATTTTATATTTTTCTTTGTATTCTTAGAAAGTAAGTTTTTGAATAGTTGTTAACTTTACTTTATAAGATTATTTAAAACAGGTAGTTATAAAAGAAAAATAATCATAGACTGAAAAATTGATTCATCTAACTGGTTAGTTAATTATGTGATGCACAGATACACAGTATTCTATATCATACCAGAAAAATACACAATACATTATAAAGCATACATCCCTCTTAATTATTTACAGGTGAAAAAGGAAAAATTGGAGATAGCCATTTTAAAACAGAAAGCGATCGTAAGTCCATGCAATAACCTAAGCTTTCTCAACCAAACTCAAGCTAATGGTACACCCTTTCATACAATAATTAATGGAGTTCTTGTTGGCATGCCCCAACAGAAGGGAGAAGAGGGCAACGAAGCCATTAACTGTTCCTTTGGATAACCTTTTGCTGGAATACATTTGAGTGGCTTGATGACTAATAATGCGTAAATGTGTGTACATGTTTAAAATTGTACATTTATTTCGTTTTCATTCTGGAGCACCAAAATTACAAAGTGTTTTTTTAAATTGTTTATGATAAATTTTATATCTTTAGTGATTATGACGGTAAATGCTTTTACAAATGTATATTTTTCACAGGAAAATGATCAGAAATCTGGCATAGTGTAGTGTCTTATGGTAATTGAACTTTCAAATTATCATTAACATACATAATTATACAAGATGCATGACTTGATTCAAATTGGCTACAGAATTTGTGAAAAACCGGGGATTATTATTTAAAAAAAAGTATCCAGAGAAAGATATTCAACTCAACGACTAATACTTATGACAGAAACTCATAGACTATAATGTATGACAGGAATGTGAAAACATTACTCATCAGATAAGCAAAACTATACCATTTAAATACTAGAATACTTGTATATCTTAGAAAGGTCTATTCTCCCTTAGAGGGAGTTGCAAATTGAATAAATATCATAGAATTTTCTAATTTTATTCATCATGACATTATTATTTATCAAAATAATAATAATAATAAAAATATTTATAGTATGGTGTGTCTTGATGTTTTCTCCATGTATACCAAGTTTCATTGAAATCGGATGAAAATGGGGAAGAGTAGCGTATTAAAAAAGGTTTACAGGCAGACTACTAGCTAACGCAGACAGATAAACAGTAGAAAGGTAGATAGATAAACACGTTACAGTCGCTCAAACTCAGCATTGCCGACTCTTCAATCGAAAGCCATTAATGAATAGCAAGGAATGCTTACATTTTACACGTTCACGCTCCAAAGTTAATGAGATGCATAGCCGATATATTGTTGCGGAGATAATTGTCTTAAGATTTAAGGTATGTAACTCCTGAGTTATATCAAGGATTTTTTTTTTGAAAGTATATTTTAGGTAACTTCTCGTACACCATGACTCAAAATCGATAAGGAAATTGGTTTCGATGTGCATCCTAGTGAGAAGGTACAATACACTTGATACTTCCACGTGACCAAATATGGTGTAGCTGGGTGTTTTTTTTAGCTCCGCAAATTTTGCTGGAAATCAAGAGAAAAATGTAGATAACAGCTTCAGATCTTCATCGATAAGGTAACCAGTACACTTCTATCAGTGTTTAGTACTTTGTGTGTACTTTGTATGAAAAAATGCGTGGCAATCTTGTGGAGTTTGTGCAATAATCAAGCACTGAGTACTGAGTACTATTCGCCTATATTCACCTATACAGCTGTACAGCTGTAAGTACCATTATAGAAACTGGGTGCCTTAAACTTTCAATGTTAACATTATTTGTATGTAATTGTGGTCTCAGAATTCATCACAATGGATGGAAGAGGTAATGCATATAAAAAAACATTCAGATCCTTTAACAAATCATCCAAAAACAATGAGACAACGTTAAAATCTAACCCAACCAAGAGGTCAAGGCCCAACTCGGACTCTGATATGTCTCAAAACATGTCTCAAGATCTTTCGGATCTTAGTGACATTCTTGACAACATCTCTAATGACGATGGCCTACTACAGCAAGCAACAAACATCATCTTAAATAAACCAGCTCTCAAGAACAGCATTATAGACAGAATGGCTAATGAAGTTAGGGATCTCAAAGATCGGGTATCGGAACTAGAGAATAGAGTTGACGATCTTGAGCAATACTCCAGAAAAACATGCTTAAAGTTCACTGGAATTCCCGAAATGTCGGATGAGAACACTAACAATGTAATTCTTAACACAATCAACAAATGTGTTTTGAATGAAGGGCAAATTTCATTAAATGTCAATGCTATTAGTACTTCCCATCGTCTTGGACCTCCTCGTCAAGACAGGCCAAGGGACATTATTGTCAGATTTGTACGATACAGCGACAAGGTCCTTGTTTATAACAACAAGAGCAACCTAAAGGGCTGGAATGACAACCCTACTAATGGCTACAAAATCTATATCAACGAGGCACTGACTCGAAGAAGGTCCATGTTGTTCGCCAAGACCAGAGAAGCTGTCCGAAATCACCGGGTTAAAGGTTGTTGGACATACGACGGAAAAATCTATATTAAGAAAAACAATGACAAAAAGGCCGTTATTAAAAACATAACTGATTTGGACCGTCTTATAGTTACAAACACTCAGGCAAGGGAGACGATAGATGAGGCCTAGGACGACACACAGGAGGGGTTATATTCATCAGTGGTTAAGGCCACCTCTGTAGGAGCATCAACCAGCTCTCTTTCCGGAAATCAAGGTACGCCCCATGGTGAGAATTTAAACGGCTGACCATTTGATCCAACATGTAAAATAAATTTACCAGATGTAATATCGTCTATTTTCTTCATTCACAAATCAAAATCATCTAGCAGAATTGTGAGCATAAGCACTTTCTCTATGGCAATCTGCCTAGTAAGACTCTGTTTTGCTAAACTTGTTTATCATTCTAAACTACACCATAACCGTGTTTCGGTTTCAAACCCTTTATTCTCTTTTGTACATATATTACTTGTCTTTAATTTTCACTAAAGTCACTTATTTTTGTATATTTCTAGCATTTGCACTGTTTGCTTCTTTTTTGTTACATCGTTTCTTTTTTTATGTTAAAACAAAAAAGTGTGATTGTCAACCTATTTTCCAACAATCTTTTCCCTTGTATTTCTATTTGACACATATATACTTTCCTATGTGCGACCAAAACATCAATCACTTTTTATTTTGCATAAATACAGTCATGGACAATGGGTAATACGGTTATGCAACATCGTGCCGCAATAGGAAATTTCTACCTTGCATGTAGAGGTATTTATACATCTTCAATGTTTGTTTTCTTTAGTTTTGTACAGTTATCGGAATACGCCCGTAAATTCTTCAAAAAACATTTGTCATGGGATTTAAAGAGTTTTATTAGAATATCGATGTGTGTAAACTTTTTCTTTCAATTTTTTACTTTTACTTTATTGTTGTCTGGTGATATCGAGATTAACCCTGGTCCCACTCATGAGAGTGTCCTCGACATTTTTCACTTAAACATTAGAAGCATAAGAAACAAGATAGATTATTTAAATACAATTATTCATGATTTTGATATCGCCTGCTTCACTGAAACTCATTTAGACAATAGTATACTAAATGATGATCTTCATATCTATTATTCGCAAAGACAGGAATTCATTTGGGGGCGGTGTGATGATTTATCTATCAAATGCTATTTCTGCCCGTCGTCGGGTAGATTTAGAACCTACAAATATTGAATGTATATGGATTGAAATAGAAAACCCTACCTCTAACTATCTTCTGTGCTGTATATACCGCCCACCACACACTGAAAATGTTTCCTGGAGAAATTTTTCCTGGTCCATAGATAAAGCAGTCGAATTATCCAATCGAATAATAATTGTTGGTGACATAAACACAGATTTTTTAAACATTCCTCCTTCACACCATATATACGACATCATCAACAACAATAACCTCACAAATAGAATCCATGAACCAACGAGAGTCACGAATACCACACGAACACTTATTGACCCCATTTTAACAACACAAAACATTGAAGCAAACGATTCAGGTGTTCTATATATAGACTCCTTTATAAGTGATCACAAAGCAACCTACATATCAATTTCACAAAACTACAATCTTAATCGTGCATATAAACGTAAAATATGGCAGTATAAAAATGCAGACATTGAAAAATTAAATAATTTAATTGAATGTTGTGATTGGGATGAGCTAATCTGTAATGCAGAAAACATAAACTCCGCTACTGAGCTTTTTTCTTCAAAATATTTGCCATATGTTCGTGAATGCATACCCGAACAAACAATTACTATAAGACCTAAAGACAAACCTTGGTTTGATTCCCTTTTAAGAAAATTTATTAGAATACGAAATAGATTGCGAAACAAAGCGTTGAAAACTAAAAATGACTCTGACTGGGCTAACTATCGTAAAATTAGGAATAAAGTTAATAATATGAAAAAGCATGCGCTGTCAAACTACTATGACAATATTGATATACAAATCAACGATGCAAATAAAAATAACAACAAATTATACTGGAAGCTAATGAAAGAAGCTTTCTGCACTAAACTTTCATCAGATATACCGCCCATTCACTATACATCCGAAAGTGGAAATAATGCAACAGCATTTTCTGATCTAGAAAAGGTTGAAATACTAAACAACTATTTCTCGTCTATTTCTAATATAGATGACAATGGCAATGAATTACCGAAAAAATATTCATTATGTAATGATAGGCTAAGTGATATTGTGATTCAAGAACAGGAAATAATTGATATGATATATATACTTCCGGTAAACAAAGCTATAGGACCAGATTGCATAAGTCATAAAATGTTGAAAGCAACAATCCAGACTATTTCAAAACCATTATGTAAACTATTTAACAGGTCTCTAAAAGAAAAAGTTTTCCCATATCACTGGAAACTAGCTCATGTACTGCCTCTTTTCAAAAAAGACGACCCATCTTTAACATCAAATTATAGACCAGTATCATTACTGAGCTGCGTAAGTAAAATTATGGAAAGAATAATTTTTAAGCATGTTTATAATTATTTACATACAAATGATTTGTTCTACAAATACCAGGCGGGTTTTCTACCTGGTCACTCAACCGTTTATCAATTGCTAGAAACATACCACAGTATTGCTAAAAATATTGATGAGGGAAAATCATGTTGTATGATATTTTGTGATTTATCAAAGGCTTTCGATAGAGTATGGCACAAGGGTCTTCTTTTTAAACTACAAACGTATGGAATTTCGGGCAATCTTTTTGAATGGTTTCAAAGTTACCTGAACAATCGTACTCAAAAAGTTACGTACAAAGATACTTTTCTTCTAGCAAGGCTATTAATGCCGGGGTACCCCACGGCTCAGTCCTTGGTCCCTTGTTATTTGTAATATACATAAATGATGTTTCAGAAAACATGTTATCACTTTGTAGATTATTTGCAGATGACAATTCTATACAAAGTTCTTCGTCAAATGTTGCTAACATAGAATATAATATTAATCACGATCTAGAAGTTTTAGATGAATGGTCTAAAAAATGGTTACTAAAATTTAATCCTTCAAAAACTAAAGCTATATTCTTTACACTTAAAAAAAATTTGAGCTTCCAAAACTATATTTTCAACAATGTCAAATACAGTGTGTATCCACGCATAAACATCTTGGTCTACTTTTTTCACAAGACTTAAGTTGGTCTGAATATATTAATAGCATAGTAAATACTGCATATAAAAAACTTGGTCTTTTGAAAAAACTCAAATTCACTCTTGGACGTAACACACTTTCTAAAATGTACATAGCTTTTGTTAGGCCTCACCTTGAATATGCATCCGTTGTCTGGGATGGATGTACACAATATGATATTGAAAAATTAGAAAAAGTTCAGCTTACTGCCGCACGAATCATTACAGGTCTCCCCATTTTTGTTTCTAGTGAATCGCTCTATTCAGAAACGGGATGGGAACCTCTCGTAGAGAGAAGGAAGAAAGCTAAATTAACTACAATGTTTAAAATACATAATAACACTGTCCCTGATTACTTAAAAGAGATTTTCCCAAATACTCGAGGGAACATTTCATCATACAATACTCGTAATACAGAAAACTACACAATTCCGAAATGTAGACTTGAAATCTTTAAAAAATCCTTTGTCCCAGACGTAATTAATAACTGGAATTCTCTCAATCTGGGAGTAAGGGAATTAAAGTCCATCAATCAATTTAAGAAAAGTATTTGTACACCATCCTCTAAACCTCCCTCTTATTTTTCATATGGAAAACGTTTTTGGAATATAATTCACACTAAATTAAGACACAACTGTATCTTAAATAGCGACTTGTATCGGAGAAATATAATTTCTTCCCCCAAATGTACTTGCGGCCAAACTGAAGACATTTATCATTTTTTCTTTGTATGTAAGAAATATGAACGTCCAAGAAATGACTTAATAAACACTATTCTTCAACTTAACCAGCAAAATATAATAGATACTCATTTTTTATTGTGCGGAAACGAATCTTTGTCTACCGATGTAAATATTAAAATTTTCTGTAGTGTCCAGAAATTTATTCGAGAATCAGATAGATTCTAATTCAAAACAGTGTCTTTGATTTCAATATGTATATGCAGTATGAAAATTTTAAATGTTTTATCAAATATGAAAGCTTCTTGTTCAATAAACATTGTAATCAGTGTATATGTAACATTAGAGCTCTGGTAGATTACTCTGAGTATATGTCTTTATAATTTTTCATATATATTACATGTACAACATAAAATTTCGTAAATTATCTCAATTTACTTATTATGACAATCATATATTGTATTCACTGTTTGTATAATAAGGAGAGGATTTATTAAGTTGAAAGAACTTGTATCCAATCCTTTTGTATATGTATTATTACAATAAAATATGTTCAAATCAATACACTTGACCTTTTTGCACTTAATTGTAATTTTTAGATTAATCACTTTAATCTTTATCATATTAAACCAGATGTTATGGCAATAAATATAATCCTATTTCTATGTAAAATAGTTTAAAAAATATTTATTATTGAAAATATTTTGTAAATTACTGCGTGTTAATTATTGCATGACCTATCTGTACTAAAAATTATCATAATATGAGTATGAAAAATCTAGAGGCAATAAAACATTTTCTTGCATGAAGCTTTTTGTGACAATAGTGATGATAGGTTGAGAGTATCGTGTAGTTTAAAATAATGAAAGAAAATGTTGTGGTCAGTGATATATATTTTGACATATTAATCAAAATATACGATTTTCAGGCAATAAACAATTTATATTTTATTTTAACTTCTTCAATATGTCTTCTGTTGTGGCAATGTCTGTTGAGTGAATGTTTGAATGAAATAGCAGAGTAAACGCAATACTGAGATGCTCATTGCCATCACAGGGTTATTGTGTGTTTTGGGAACACAGGAATTATTTTGTTTCACCCTGAGAAGGAGATTATATGCGACGGAGTTCACTTAAATAAACTAAAGGTACTGTGAGCACTGAGCTCACTAAATGATACCCCCGCCTCCCATATGTTTATAATGGCAACGTCCATGTTTTGCTCTAGGAGACTCGAAATAAGTGTCAAATTAAAAAAATAAAAT